TTCCAAATACAAAAAATATTTTAATTAATATTTTATTTATTTGAAATTTAAAAATATCTGTTTTAATATAAACAAATTTTGATGTATCGCCTACACAACAAACTCTTTCAATGTAATGCATGTAACTCAATAGGTACTTATCCTAAAGTTGTATCGAAATATTTTAACCCACTTTTGTAGGAAAAGTGTTAAAAAATAGCTGTTTTTAAAAAAATTAAAAATTGCATTTTTATTTATTAATACAAAAACGCAAAATATTTTCTAGATCAAAAGTGATAAAAGATGTCAAAACCTGTCGGGACAGCATAAATTTACATGATAGATTCATAGAAGTATGATATTTGATTTATTGCAATCCACGTAAGGTATACTTTGGAAGAAAAATTCCCAGCAATATAACTCAATTCAATGGATATGGTAAAATTGTTCTGTGAGATGGAACATTTATACATTCATAGAGTAATCCATTTCATAGAGGCCTGGTAAAAGTGAAATATCTATCCTCTGCACATGTTGTCAGTATCAATTAGAGTCCCACATTATGGCGTACTTTACCATCAAAATGTTTTGACGCATTTTTCCTAAGACCTTAGAGCTTTCTTATGCAACTTAATATCCGGTTACTACCATAAGTAATCTCATTAACGGAGTTTTTTATTTTTTGCATGCATTAATATGGCCAAACCAAACAAACAACAATAAAAACACAATTATTAAAAACATCTAGAATAATGGTTATTAACGAGTTTTATATAACACCTTAGAACTTTTTTATTAAAAATATTAATGCATATTTTAGAATTGATGAAAAAAACATATATCTTGCAAATCGAAATAAAAAAAATTGTAACCAATGTAAATACTACACTCTGACGAGAATTTATCCACAATCGGTAGTCAAAAATGAACTACTTTTATTAAAAACTATTACTGTAGACAAATTATTACATTCATTGTTCATAAACTATATTTAAATATCATTCAATACTTAATTACTATCTACTTAATAGTGGTAAATTTAAAAAATTTGTAATAATTTTAATACCACGGTAACATTTAAATTTGTTATTTATTTAAAACACACCATTTAGACTTTTATCTTTTTTATTAAATCGTAATATTTTTCTCTTAAATTAAGTTGCAATTTTCTTTTTTTTAATGCTAAAAAATTGAATTTTTTTTATAAAGCTTATTATTTTTACTTCTATAAAGTATAATATATCTCAGACCTTAATGATAATGTTTATAACTTTTGATACAATTATCATTTTGTTGAACTTTAATTATAATAAACTACATTTATAGCATATTTATTTTACTATTTATCATTTATTGTTTGTGCACAGGTGGAGTGAACTACACAAGTACGAGCTGCGATCACCATCGCTACATATTCATTCATATATTAGAATGCTTGTAACTCGATGAAAACTTGCCCTAAAATTATTATCGACCCATGAAAAGTTTTTATAAAGAAAGGGGTAATCAAATTAGCGTTTTGAAATTTTTGAAAAATTAAAAAAAAAATTACTTATATATTTTTTCAATAGTGATAAATAATAAAAAATATATTTTTCATTATTTTAAAAGATATTGCATTCAGGGTATGCTTTAAACAAAGTCAATGAAGACAAAATTATATCAAAAAAATCAAAATGATAATTGTACATTGCATTGCGTTATCAGTTAGGTTTGGGACATTCAGTACATTGATCATTCCCTGGTTGAAATAATTTGTTAAAATAAATTGATTTAATTGGTAAAAAACAGGTAGTCTGTATACAGTTCTTTATAAAATTTAGGTTAAAATAAATAAGAAGCTACATTTTTGAGTGAACTATGGTTAAATTATTTTCCTTACTATTATAGAACTACATACGTTAATTGATAAGCAACTGCAACTAAGGATAAAGAAATAAGAGCACTAACGGGAATACAGAAAAAGTGAAAGTTGTGCTATATACTTTTTTTAGGAAACACTGATACATTGTCGTGCATGAAAATAAAAGTAATAACTATTGTATAGGAGGAACAGTAGCTGCTCTTATTTCTGTTGTAAAATAACGTTGAAAATATAATATAACATTAACTTAAACCGGAAAATAAAATCATAATTATTAACTTTGAATTATTTCTATTTTATTAACTTTATTCGTTAAAATTCATAGTATGTACTTGGTAACTTAAAGTACTCATTTGTATACAAATTACGTAAAAATTAATAGTAATCCCATTAAAAACATATATTTATATTTGTAAATAATTTATATTCTTCGTAGTTTCATTATATTTTTATGAAAATTCGGATTTCTAAATAAAAATACAAAGAAGTTATTTTTCATTTAATTCTGTGGCAATTTTTCGAAAGTCTTTCAAATTGTCTGAAAATAATTGTTATATTTGTGAATGTTTACAGAGGGTGTTTTCAATAGTTTGGCGGGAAATGATAAAAGAAAAAATTTAATACAATAGGACTCTAGTTCTTGTTTCATATATATATATTTTCATAATTACAATTAAATATTGTTTTTATTTAATAAAATATTTATCAAACTTTGTAAAAAAATACTTCACTTTAACTAGCGAGATTTAAATCGCGAACACAATAAAATTTGCCTTATAATGTTAAAAATGTAAAAAACGATGAATAAATAAAACGTGTTCTCATGCAAAAAGAGCGATACATGCATACAGTACTACAGCCGCAATTGTAATTACAAGGTTGTACATTTTATTTAATGTTGTATGTCAAATAAAAAATTGCTTAGAAAATACTCAGCGGATAAAAATAAATTAGCAGTTGAATCCATGACACTTTTCAAATTAAACAAGAAAATTATCAAGATCATTAAATTTGTTTGAAATATTTTATTCTTGATGTAAAAGCAACATAAAATAAAAAATTATATAGTAATATTACATGCTTGGTTTGTTGTCTGTCAGGGAATTAAGTGCAACAAATGACAAAGCCATGAAAATTCTTTGTTCTCATTCATTTTTTTATTACTTTACTCTTGCGTTTTATAAAATGTTTATTTAGCAAAAGTTTTAAAGCTACCATTGTAGCAGCAGCTTATACGGAAAACTACACCGCGACAATGTATTTTATGACGAATAGGTACTTACAAAATATGATTATCTTAATTAAAAATTATACATGTAGTGCTTTAAATGAGGTTGTTATTATAATGATTTCATATTATTAAAGTTACAAATAAAATTTCTGGATAAAACTAATGATGAGATATAATAATAAGGAAAATTCATTATTTAAATATTAATATTTAAAAGAAAATTAAAAACTTATTACCGAAAATACTTTAAATATATAATTAAAATTTTGGTTAACTATTTAAATTATACAATTAATGCTAACTATAAAACATTCAACCGCAGTAAAACGTACAAAAAAACACTTGATAACGTTTAATCGGCAATTTATACCTACGTGGTATGTTACCTTGTCACTAATACATTCAAATTACTGTTAAAAATGTAAATGCGATTTACAATCAACTCCGCTATATAAAAATTGGAACATTTTTTGTACAGCTAAGGAGCAAATGTTAAATAATCTCATGTACTATGTCATACACAGGGAGAGCTAGAGAGCATCAAAAATATCTTGACTTTTTATATTTACTTATTTGAGACTTTAATAATTGTTCATAATTAGTTTAATAATTTATTAGTATATCAATGTTGGAGCTCACTAAAAAATGGAAGATTTTTAATTAAGAACTATGGGAACGCGGGGAAAAGGCGCGTACCTAAATATCTCCTGAACTAGTGGATTTTATTTTAGGTGATTAAAAACATAAATAATTATTTAACTCGGTATATAACGTGTACAATATTTTATAACAGTATTATAATTAATTTATGGTTTAAAAACAAAAATATTACACAGTAGTGAGAGTTGTAAAATTTCTGATTAGCTTTATCTGTAGTTAAGTGACTCCTAACAATTTTTAAAACTCAAAAGGAAGTTAATTAAGCGGGCTAAATCACACTGTTCATAAAAGTTTCTACTACGCTGTAGCTCATCAAAAGTGTTTAATTGTTATAGTTTGTTATGATTAGTTCAATTGGTTAATTTCCAGCCGAGGAAGAATAATTTTTTTATAACCTTTCTCTTTTTCATGGTGCACCTTATAACAAATATAGTATAATATAAATGTATTTCAGCCTATCAACAAATCATTATAATCTTTATAAGGTGTAAAATCATGACAACTATCAGATATCATTCGATAAGACTGAGTCATAAAAAAATATTTGTAAAAAATAACTAAATGACATGCTATAATATAGTATCTTATTTATATATATATATATATATTATATTGTTTCAAAAGTTTATTAGATATAAGTGGACTAATAATCTATTTTTTCGACGGCTTTATAATATATTCATAACGTTCAAAATTGTTATAAAAACTTTTTTTTCTCAACTTTAAATATTTTCTGCAATAAATTCAAAAATAATTAAACGAATACAATAAAAAGTTTAGGTTGTTGATATTTAATAATTTGAGGACATGCTCAAAGCAAAATAAAACAATTTGCTCCACGTGTCTAATTATTAAAATTAATTAAATGTCCTTTATTAGCTATTAAAAACCCATTGAGTACATATAAGAGATTTTACGATCAATCATATTCAAAATTCTGTATGAAACTATATTTTATAAAAATTCAAATAATAACATCACTATATCAATTTTTTTTAAAAGACAGTCTCACAATAATAATAATACTTATCACTAAAAAGTGTAATGTTATTTTTTAATAGATCACGAGAAGGTAACTCACAGACAAAAAGTTATGATTTTAATTTTTGATAGCAATATGTTCTAAAAAGAATAAGAATACATTTAGTACATGACTATAGAAATTATAACTATTATTTACAATTAATATTACTATAAACGGTTTTATCATTGTTTTACATAAGAGTAAAAAAAATTGACAATGTTATAAAATTTTTCTTATATAGTTTTAAATATGTAGAATGATAAATAATTGATTACATATGTTGTAGGTCTTATAGAGTATCAACTTTAAGTTTTAATGACAATATACATATTTTATTAGCTTAAATGTTTAAAATTAATCCAAATAAGAAAAAACTGGTCAATAACAAATTTTAAACAAATGTTCAAAAGTTTTAAACATTTTTATACTTAAGTATCAAGAGGAGTACAGCAGTATGGTGGGTAATGATAAAAATAAAATAATCCTCACCTCGCTTACAGTCTATATTAATTAAAGTGTTAATAACTTCAAAAATACTGACTTAAAAATTTGCATCGATTAACAGTTATTTCTTTAGTTGGATAATTTTTTTGTTATTAAGTTATAAATGTATGTAAAAAATTTAAATCAGACCTTATAACAGATAAGTCCCCTAAAAACTATTTAACTATTAATATTTCGATAAATAAATACTATTTAACAAAATCAAGAAAAAAATTCTTAAAGTTATTATTTTTCTAAGAGATATTTAGAGATTAATCACAAATCAATCAGTCTGTAAACTAATTGGCATATATTTAATTTTTGTAATTAATCTAGAAAATCAAAAAATGGTCCAAATAAAAATAATACAATAATAGACTTCAAATCTGATTTTACAAAGCAAATAGTGCTTACTTTTGCATTTGGTATACATGTAATGTCGGCATGAATCTCAGCGTGTGTTCAGATTTTAAATATTTATGCTTAACAATAAATTTATTCATGTTCATGGCAAATTGTCAAAACTCATTTTCACGATGCCATCGCAGTTTTTGATAAACTAAAATACTAACTGAACGACAATGCAAGATGTTAAAACAAACAAATTTCATTTAAATGATTTTATTAATTTGAAAAACTTTTAAAGTAGACGATTTTCACTTATTTTACTTTTATTAACGACTTGATAGTAAATAAGATAAATTATACTATATATTGATTAACTAACCTAATAGTGATGTATTATTAGGTCTTTTCTTTGACACTACGTCGATTTTAAATAATAACTGATTAAACAATTTTCAAAGATATAGAAAATTAATTTTCTAAATATATTTTTTTATACGTTTTTAATATCAACATATTAGATTTTGTGAACTAAAACTCTAAGAAAATATACTAATGTGTTGATTTGTGATATTCGTGTTTCAGTTTGCTTCTCATGTTTACTATACAAATTATACTTCTTATAACTGTATTATGTTATTTTTTTTATTTTTTTCAACAGACACTGTAGAGTTAATATACTGAGTACTCGTTCAAACTAAGGGTAATAATAATAAAATGTTTTTTCTCCGGGTTACAATCAAACTTGGTATCGAATTATTTAAAATATAAAACAGGTTCAGAGCGTGTTACTTATTTACTAACAAGATACATAAGGATTACTTTTTGGAAAAGTCAATGCCAGTAGAACAAATCGATGTGTCTAAAAAAGCAGTCATTACACTTCCACGGTTGATAAATACAAAACAAAGAATGATGTTAATACTACTTCGGTTTAAATCTCAACCCATTGAAGTATAACTTTATATACATTTAATTAATATACTAAATTACATTTTCTCTACATTTTCTTGATATTCTGCGCCATATCTTTCCGATACTCCCACGTAAAATTAACTATACAATTTAATATTTTATTTTACAACTTTTTGTTAAGATCTATACTACGCTAAAAATGCATAATAATTATTTATAGAAATGAACTTCGCCTAATGCACAAATAGGTGGATAAAAGAATAATTTTTTCAATACTTTTGTACAATAACCAATTCATTTCAAATAAGTAGTTTTGATGTTTATAGAATTTTATAATGTTATAATAGTAAATTTACTAAGTACAATAAAATTGGATCACATACTTATCCATAATTTTCACATGAAATGTGGTCGATATTGCCGCTGTATTACTCCATTCACAGCAGCATTTTACAAGTACTTCTCTTATATTTTAAAAGACACACTGTACTAAATTCTAATGCTAAACATAAACTTTTCGCTAGTTTGCTAATAACGATGACATTCTGCAATAGTATAAAAATAATTGACAAAACTGTAAAAATAATACGACGGTAAAAAAAGAAGAGATAACACTGTACACGCTAGACGTGACAGAAACAAAGCACACGACGTCATGCGCTGGATGCGTAGGACGGAGACTGACGGCGTCAGACCTGGTAGAGTCGTTCTTCCACTGCCGTCCCTCCTCGTTCCAGTCACGAAATTCTCTTCTACCCTTCACCGCATAACCCGTCAGTGGGAGTTGTAGTTCTCTTATGGCCCCACGGCGACGGTAGACGATTCTTCCCTCCACTTCGTATGTTGTCAGTGGGACGAAATGGCCGAGGGTACTATTTGATACAATCCTCTTACGTTCGGGCTTTTGCACTTGGGTACCGTACCAGCGATATCGATTAGTGACAGACGAGTACCAGAGTAGCCATCTGGTAGCGAATAGACTAAACTGCAGCGTCGTAGCAATAACGTTGAATATTGTTATTTAAATTTAATATGCAGTAAAAATAAATTGACAAATGGTCAGAGAAAAAATGTATTAAATTATAAAATATATTTAAATTGTATACTAAGTTATAATAAGTTTATATACTAATTATATACTTTACTGTTAATTAAAATATCTTGCTTTTTATGTGTATCAAGTCTCATAAAATTATTTTCGACCATTGATCTAAACCAAAAACAATAGAAATTTTGCACAACCGTTTTAATTATGTTGTTAACTAAACAATAAACTGAAAGCGAAGTACTATAAAACCAAAATTTATATCTAGGTGGATATTTTATATATCCTGTATAATTGGAATATAAGCTGAAAGGGTAACATAACAAATAGTACAACAAAAGATAACATTTTGAAAATGCTAAAATCAATTTTTTTTTTATTATTTTAAAAAATTCAAATTATGTTTTGTTTTTCTAATATAATTACTATGTAGTTATAACTGACATTAGATTTCAAAATAATTCGATTATACAAAAGCTTTTTTACAAATCAAAGATTTTTCTTAAAAAAATTAAAAACTCAGACTAAATGAAAAAGCTATAGTCTTTCTTAAAACGACTGTATTATTTTCACTGACAAAATACATAGAATAAATTTTAGATAAAAAATTTACCATTTTTACGTAAATTAATATTGTTGTAAAAACAAAACGCGAACCCCAATAACATTAAATAAGTCTATCAAATTTAAGTCAATTTTAATTTTGAAAACAGTAAAAATGTCTATATAAAATATACATCTCTCAAAAATTACAATTACTAAATGAAGTAACATAATATTATTGAGTTACTATTTAAATTTGGATTTTTAGATTTTACAAGTTAGAAATCATTGCAAACTTTTCTAGTTATTGTAAATATTTGGCAACATATTTATCTTAATGAATTGAGCTCACAAAAAATGTTATTGACAGATATCTGTTAACATAATAAATTTAAAAAATGATTATAAAATCATGATAAATTATTAATGATTTAGGTGCAAATTTGTATGATCATTTCAAAGTACTCACTTATTAAAATATATTTTTATTACTTTTAGTAAACAATTAAAATACGTGATTTAAAATAAAATCCTGAAAACTGTGCCATAACTATCAATTAAATGACATTAGTTTTCGATATGTCAAGTCGAATCAAAAACTAAGCAAATAGATTTGACATTTATGCAATACAATACAATGATATTGCGTTACAATTAATAAATTGACGCACAATTCAGGAAAATCGCAATTCTTATATAAAGCCAATCAGCCGATAAAACATTCATTTAGACCAGTATAATTGGTCATAATTATATGTAATAGAAAACTATTCAACAAAAATGATATCCAAATTTTTCATCGTAGCTGCAATTTTTCTGATATCGGTAAGTTTTAATAAAAAATTGAATTAAATTTAAATTAAAAATTAAAGACTAAATATAGTTGGGACAAGTATACATGATATCTGACAGTTAGTAACATTACTATAAAAAAAAAACGCTTCTATGCGAATTTGTTAACTTTTTATTAAAATTATTGTCAGAACCATTTCATTTATTTAATCGCAACGAATATTTAAAGATCTTTAATTTGGTATAAGTTTTAGTTTGTCAAACGACCTGGACACTTTTGAAAATTAAAATAAAGTAATTTTTTTGTGAACATTTTTACTTATGCATATTTTTCATAATAGAACAAATGTCGGGAAATAACCATATTTTTTTATAATCTACTTCACATCAAAAGCTTTAACTTGAAAAATGTTAAAAGTCGTGTGTCATTTTGGAACATTTTTAAAAATTGTGTTAAAAAAATTAAATTACTTAATGGAATGGGTTTTTTCAAACCCTTCCTACTCTCAGATTTTTAGTGATACCTATTAAAATTTCATTAGGAGTTTTAAAAAAAAATATTTAAATAGTTATAAATGTATAAAATAATTTTATAAATGCCTATTTTTACAGTTACTTAATTTTGAGACATTTTTAAAAATGTTCTATAATTAATCAGTTATTTTTAAAAACTCAAGACTGATAGTTTCAAATAGAATAAAATGTTGAAGCAAAGACCAAAATGATCAGTCTAGTGAGAGCTTAAAATTATTCATTAACACAAAAAAAAAATACGTCATAATAAAACCATTATCATCTTACCTTCGCATCCAAACAAAAATGTCTAAAAACTAATAGAACTAAAAGCTATAGATGTTGAATAACTGTAGAAATATTCAATAGTTCTTATCAAATAAATTAAAAATTATTCGCAAATTATGATAACAATTGAATTTGTTTTAAATTAGATAAATATTAGTATTAAAAAATGTTAATAAATAAAAATTCAATATTTTTAATTATAAGAACACATAATCCATAGTTTAACCTATTCAAATAATTTTATTTCAACTATAATTTACCCATAATAATAATTTAAAAAATTCAATTAAAAAGATAAAGATATATTTAAATGTTTTATTTAAAGTAATTATATTTAGATTGTCTTTAATATATTATAGAATACTAATGTTAATTTTTTGTATTATCAAATTAGGAAATCGTAAATGTCAATTCATGCTGTAGAAATTATATATCTGATACGGCAATAACCAGTGAAAATGAAAATATATATGAAACAGAATATTATTCTGAAACCCAAACCGACAGTAAAAGTGTATCAATTGTGACAACATCAAGCGGTGAAGATATTTTTGATATCTTCAACAAGTATAACAGACGTCAACTATGTTCATTCTTCCAAAAGAAGGGATTGAACGATTTGGAACAATTATATATCAGTTACATTAAAAATAACGACGAAGAAAGTAGATGCGCATTCCAAAATGGATTGTATCAATATTATAGTTATAATAATTGTATTGACAATGATATTCTGGAATTAAGAAAATTATCTTCATCTAAACTTGGAATGTCTGGTAAATTATCTTTAAAAAAAAAACTTAAGGAGAAACTCTTAAATAGAACAAGTGAGAGTAATAGCTCAGATTCTGAAGAAAACTGTAGATTAAATAATATTGTCAAAACAAAGAAGGGCAAAGATATATTCAGAATATTACAAAAATACAGTAAAGATCAATTGTGTTTATTCTACAAAAAAAAAGGCATGAATGATGTTGAGAAACTATACTTAGACTACGTACAAAATAATTCCGATTCTGCAAAATTAATTGCATACAGAAGAGCTCTGTATAAATATTATACACAAAATAAATGCATCGATACCGATATTGTGGAATTGAACGATATCGTGAACTCTGTTAGATCAACAAGCTCT